CTCCAGGTTGAGCTGTTGTTCACCATCTTAGCTGTAGAGGGCACAGCGTCACTGGTCCATGTGGGATCTGACCGGGTGGCCCTGCTGCTCAGAGCTCATGCTCCCAAGCCAACTCTTAACCAACGAGCCACTCAGCTGCCCAACAACTCCTGTTTTTAATGTACTGTGTTTTCATATAGATTCTAATAAATTATAATAATAAATAGCCTACATTTAAATGAGATCCATTTCATGCCAACTCATTTGATCTCACTCTCTTCCAAAGAAAGTGAAATTATGAAATTAAGGGACAAATGACAAGCAAAACAAGCAAAAAGCTGATAAAATCTACTGAATTAGGAATCTGCTTCTCTGCAATATACAGAAGAGTATGAGATAAGATCTGAAAGTAACATTCATTTATCAAGAATTTTCAGTGATTTATGAAAAAAAAATCCAAGTAAACTGCTACTTTTGCATTCTCTGTGGTACAATGGTGACCATTTCAAAGGAGACTATTCCTTTTTAAAAAGAGACTCCCTCCCCTACTAACTAAGCCCTCTCCCTTTACTCCTCCATTTGTCCTCCATTTCCATCAGTTGCTATCAGCAGTTAATCAGGAAATAGTTGTGATCTCAGTGCCTTTCTACGATGCCTAAAAAGCCATCACAAGCAACTCCATGGGGTCAAGGCACACCAAAAATAAAGAGTCCTAAATAGAAGTCAAGGAATTTAAACTTGGATTTTGGTTGTCCAACTGACTAGCTGAGTTAACTATGACAAATACCTAAATTTTCTGTGTCTACTCACCAACATGGCCATTTGTAAAATGGAAGTACTTGATCTTCTAATGTTAAAATGCAACATATTCTGGAAGCCATGATACAATTATTGTATAGTCTATATGATGATGATTTACTCGTTGTCGTATATTTATCAGCTTCATTTTGACCCACTACCTCGCTCAGACACTCCCTGTAGAGAGATGGGTGGGAGATGTATGTTTGGATGGGTTGTGGTTAAGGTGGGGGGAGATACAGAAGCATTAGCAGAGTGTGCCAGTCTCTGAAAATGGCAGACACAAAGTGAGTGAGGGCTGGGACAGGAAGAGGCTCTCGGGCACAGGGATGTCCAACTGATGAAGAAAGGCCCCACAACTCGTTAGCGAACAGCAAACAATCCAACAACTACCAGGTTCCTGATTCACCCCTTTGCTGAAGACTGCACGGAACAATGCAATGACATCGGGTCATCCTGAAATTGTGGGGAAACCTCCATTCTGGATAGGTCCAAGTCAGCTCTGCCAGTTACGACTTTATCAGGTCACTAATCTATATTTAGAATTCACAGTAGTGATTCCAAGCTTACTCCCTCTTTCCTTGAGTTCTGGGGAATATAAATTTGAATTTTTAGGGCAAAGGGCGATACTCACCTCACTGACTCATAGTGTTGCTTTTTCAGATCATACAGAACACAACTTTCTTCTGCGTGTAGAGTTAGCAATTGGGGAGGGACTCCCTATAATGAGACATTCTCTCCTTCCACCCCAGGCATTGACAAGTTTGAAGGCCGTTACTTCCACAGTCGGGAGTACAAAAGTCCTGATGGCTTTTTAGGAAAGAGAATCATCGTGGTTGGCATTGGGAATTCCGCAGTGGACATTGCGGTGGAGCTCAGTCGTGTCGCAAAGCAGGTCTGTTTGCCAGAAAACCACAGTTGTCATTAGCGGAAGCCTCTGCATATATTGGAACCATCCAGAATGCAGGTTTGCTCTGGGCGGGGCCAGGAAAGAAAATGAAACCCAGGGGTCCTGGTCTCGGGATGTTTAAACTCATGGGGAGCAAAGGATAAATGCAAATTAAATGCCTCATATTCACAATGGAAAACACACATAAGCAAATTATAATTAACTGAGCTAATGAAGTAAAACTTTAGCTAAAACGAAATGTAAGGTCATTAATCTGACTTTTCTCGAGCCCACAGCAGCTCCTGGTTCCTGAAATAGATGTCAAATGGTTGTAAAGACAAGAACTTGGGAGTCCATCTGGGATCAGCAGATTTTCGTGGTAGAATTAAAAAATAGGATAAAGAAGAGAATCAATGAAGATGATCAATATATAATCCTCTTTAACTGGAATAATTGAAATTATCTATTACGATGGGGCAAGATAGGAGGAAATACATTCTGGTTTAGTCATATTTCATTTCATACAAAAGCAAGTTATCCAAGTACTTCATTTACGATTGATTATTCAGTCTTCTTTCTTTCATTGAAAAATTAACAATACTCTGAATTTAGATAAAAATGAGACACTTTTTGAATTCCAGATTAACTTATTTTTCTTTATTATTATCTAAAGTTTTTAGGGGAAATTATTGCTAAGCCACTTACTAAGGGTTTAGTTTTTTAAAAATTTAATGACCTGTTTTAGAGGTCAATACCTGCTGACCAGCACCTGTCTAATCCATCTTCTATTTGAAGATTTGATCAACAAGAATTGAGATTCAACATGATCAGCTCAAGATTACCAAAGCATCAAAATCAAACAAATAGTTCATTATCTTTTCATCAGATAGAGAAAAGTTTGCAAATGTATTATAGAAAGATTTGAAAGTGATTCTCGTTACATTCTGTTAAGCAAGATCCTAGTCCTGAATAATTTGATGCATTAAAGTTTTTCATGTATGTTTTTATTTTGATGTAAACAATACAGTAGAATAATATGGTAATTCTGATGATAATTCACTCACTTCTAAATTCAAACTCTTATTTGTACTTGAAGCACAGCTATGTCAATATCCAGGAATTTTTTTT